TTAAAAATAATTCTTATCAGCACGTAAAAGGATGTATTTATCAACAAGAATCTTTGCTATTTTTCTACTGAGAAAATAGGACGGATGTTACCCAAACGTTGAACGAGGAACTGGAAACGGGGAGTGGGGAGTGAGTGTACAGCGATAATCTGAATTAGAATTTAATCATTTTCTGGGCTCTATAGCGCCTGCAATTTATATCAGAAAAAAAAAGTGAAGTTATGAAGTCAAAGTTTGAGTTAAATTCTATCAATAACAACTCAACTTAACTCTCTGCTGATTGCTATTTTGAATTTGATTAAACAAAATCCCCTATGTTTCCGGCCCTCTTGGCATTATTTAAAAGAAACCTACTTGAATAAAACTTCAGGTTAATAGCATACTGAGGGTTTTCTCAGTGAAGCGTTTCTAAAAACTTACTGGAGATAAAATTCGTCCATGTCTTCTTCCTCAATCGCTCTGATCCCTCCTATGAGGGAGACGTAAGCCCTATCACGCCCAGGAATCATACTGATGCGGGAGCTTGAATCGCTCAGAGTAGGCGCATTAGCTTGATTCGTAATTTCAGCCCGCACCTTTTCTTTAAGTTGAGACGGGCAGCAAATTAGGTACAAGATGTCTTGAGAATCAGGGCGGTCTTCCAGAGGGAAGTAGGCGAAGAAAACTGCCAGCTGATGTTGGATCCGAATAAGTCTCGATAGATATCCGCTAACGCTTTGATAACTGAAGCTATCTGCACACCAGTCAATAAGACACGAATACCTAATAAAAGTCAAAGAACTGTATGTAAACTGCAATCTTAGCGCCAGATCGGATCTGCAAGTACATTCCTCTCCTTGGCAGCCGTTGTTTGGGATTTCAGCAACGTCTCCCCAAGAAACAGAAGATAAGAAATTTGAGTTAAGACGAGAGTGCCTTTTTTTTTGTTTGGAGAATGATATGAAAGGTGCAAAAGACAGTATCACGATGGTAATACTCGAGATAGGGTTTCCTTTTATAAAGAAGATCTGATGCTAAGAGTTTTGTCCAGCTTTGTCTATCGTTTACCAGTCTTTACATTCGAGGGGGAAAAGTGCAGATCCCTTGGCTCAGTTCGAAGCTCCAGTAACTTATTCATACGTAATAACTCTTTCATATACATACTAAAACTCCCATCCTCTATCAGTTATTATGTCCACACGAGTGCTCGCTTAATAAATCATCTTCACTTCGATATTTTCTAAATTTAGACGAAAAAAATGATCGAAAAATGCGGTCTTCTTTGTGAAAAAGTTCCGAGGTTACCACATTCTAATTATTTACAAGAAAAAAGCAGTTTATCTCCTTGATTACTACGTCCAGTAATACTCCCATTAGGGGACATGCAAATGACGATTTGCAAACCGGCCACATTTGGTGAATTAATAAACAAACATACCCAGAGAAGCGTTCCACCTGAAATTTAACTGTCATGCCGTCAAACGTCACTGGGTTCTTCAAATCGTCAGTGATTTCCTTCCATTCCCTCTGTTCACCATCAGAACTCAAAAACAATATTCTTACCCGGCATGCCGTTGGATCAGGAAAGTCATGGTGTGTGTCTCCCAACGAAACTGGCAGCGTTATGGTAACAGGCTTCAAGAACTCAACCGTTTCGTCGCAAACTATTCGCAGTATAGGTCCAATAAGTATATCGTTAGCCTTAAACTCTTCACCTGGTACTTCTTGCACCTAATGGGAAAATTATGTCGAAAAGAGAAAACCCAAGGATTCATTAGGTTAAGAACAAGTTACGTTGCGGTAAAGTGAAATAGAAAAGGGGAGAATTTTCTCCGCCTTCATTTTCAAATGTAGTATTAAAGTGTTGCATGGATCTCCAACGGTAAAAGACAGACTAAAGCAACAAACAGAAGGTAAAAGTACATTTTCAGGGAACAAAACGTTAAAATCCCAAGGTTTACCAAATCTTGTCGATTGGGACTTCGCTTGTCAAACGACTCGACGCTTCCACCACTGGTTCTTTAGGATAAACAATCACGAACATTTACTGTAATGACACTAGATTTCCCTCGCATCTGTTATATTTCAGGAAAATTCTGTACCTTCATTCGAAGAGGAATCCTTGTTTTCGAAGTAACAGCCTTTTCCGGGATAGTAATACCTATACTTGGATATTCAGGCATGAAAAAGGAACCACCATTTGATGTGATCGTGAATTCAGGGGAAAGATGCAGACGACTCACAACAGCATATGTGGCACATTCTGTTATATCCGCTTGCACAATAGGAAAGTGTAAATTGGGAATGTCTTGGCTAGATTGGTATTCTTCTTCAAAATCTATATCAATAAAACAAAGAACAAATATATTATAGATTAAGTTAATTTTTAGGCATCTAGTGAAAGAATAAATGGGGGCGAGTTAATAAGAATTTTCAGAGGCTTACAAGTGTGAACAATAAGGTCTTATTATTTAAACAAAGTTTAGCCGTAGTTCAACAAAACCGCGTCCTAAGCAATTGTTAACTCAGCTGAACCTTTTATCAGGGCATTCATTTTTGTGAATAGTGTCAATAGGGCCGTGTTCCGTGTTTTTGTTTTTCTTTCGTTTCGTGAAAACCTTAAGATTTCCTTGAAACTTGGTACACAAGAAGAGAGATCTGAACTTTTCCCTTTATATGCGTGACGCGCGAAATGGGATCAGACCCCCCCCTCCCCCCTTAACCCCACCCCTTTGCTAGCCTTCGTTAAGACATTCCTGGAAGTAGATTTTCTCGCACATTCATCCATGTTCGACCAACACACACAACGATGCATCAAGTTTGTTTATCTGTAATTTAACATTAACAAATTTGAAGGCTTTTCCTCCAACCTGAGATAGTTTTGAAGTCTTCCACATTGGTCATTTCTTCCCATGCACCGGTCTCGTTGTCAATCCGTTTGTACAACACCAACTCGTAGCCGTGTAGGCCGGGAGAACTGTGAGTGAATGACATCTTAACCTCAGCTTCGAATTTGAAAGCTTCGTGACTGTTCGAAGAAATTTCAATTACGTTGCTGACGAGAGCCTCGTGCTCCCGCAAAGGCGGGGACAGGACCGTTGGTTTCCATCGATGGACCGTTATCATGGTGAGCTCAGAAACAGCATCACAAGGGAAGGCTAGATCTACAGCCCCTAGCTTGATGTTCCAATGCACGTCCTCGCTAGTGAGTGTTCCTCTGAAAATAATCACAATACCATGAATGAAAATGAAATCAACTGTACAGAAAAGAGAATTTTTCGCTGGAATTGTAATCCGTAATGTCATCAATACCGCCTTCTCTTTGGTTCAGCTTTTCCGTCAAAATTCCTGGATTGCAAGTTGACTGCCAGGCTCAGGTCCAGTATATCTAAACCAGCAAAATTTGGAAAATTTCCCTTCGCTACGCTCCTTAACCCTTTAACTTCCATGAGTCAACAAGACAGGATTTCTCTTTACAATATCAATACAATATCAAGCAGACAAGTGATGAGAATAAAGAAAAATATTAATTAGGGGATTATTAGTTGATCCAATACCAAATTCTCCGTACTAACATCGCAAGAACTATATAGCAAACAGTTAGGAGAATTACTGATGAGATCTTGGAATTAAAGGGTTAAGAAAGTAACCGTTTCACCTAAATACACTAAGGAAAATAAAATCAATTTGTAACGGTTCCAAACTTGTTTCTTTCCCAAAAGCCAACGATTTTGCCGTCCGGCGCAACCTAAGCCAGCACACGTAGCTGCCAATCTTTCCTTCTCTTATTTTCGTCTTTCAGCCCACATCTCAAGCGGACGTGAAGCCTTCTCAGGCCCTGCACCTGGAATTGCTTACGGCCCTCATGCAATCATTTTTGTATGTTTCTTTTTTTAATAGACCTTAGGCAAGGAGAGAAGTTCTTCGGTATATTTTATAACAGATGATTTCGTGGTAACTATGACAAAATCTTACAGTTCCCTCTTATTAACATTGTCTAACTATTTTTAATAAAAATGCGGCGAAAAATCATCGATCTCTCTCCAAAATGGTTTTTTTTTTGGATGTCGAAAAAACCTTCGGCCACATATTTCCTTACACATATCAAACTCATGGGGTACAAATAGTCTTAACATGAATGTAGTGACCACGCCCACTTCAACACCCCACTCAAATCGAGTGTAATTTTCGAATGTTTTACCATCGTGCGGATTCTCTACGGAAAAAGCGCTCAATGTACCTCTGTGGCTTTCTATTTCGCTAATTTTCTAACTTGAAGGTAAAGTTTTTCCCTCGTCATTTTTACCTTTTCTCCGAGCGGTTGCGTGAAATTAACAAGGCGTTTTTGATCAAAACACGACCGAGCGAAGGGTCTCGGGCGATATCTCTTTTACGCAGGCGCAAATTAAAAATGTACTGCCAGAATCAAAAAGAGGTACAAATTTCCTTTGTTTTGATATGTAAAGTGTCAGACAAAAAGCAGATTTACCCTCGTCAAATGGCGTTTCAAAACAGCTGTATCTCCCTCCTTTTGATTTTTTCCTGTTTTGTAAAGCGTGAAAGCAGTAGGAGAGGGATCGGGAAACTCAGAAAGCGCTTCGGGAATTAACCTGCCATCGTTTACTTACAAGATAAACAAGTAAGATTTGTGAAGTTCGTTGAAGTATGAAGTCTAAATAAAAGCCTTTTTTAAGCTTGCTTGCTGGATTTTTCGTAAACTTCCCTGATTAATTTTTCGTTTCAGCTTACTAATCTATACTATTTCAAAGCAATGTAAAGACGAAGACGGAGAACCATGAGTCGGTCCTTTCAGCAATCGTAAACAAAGTGTTTGAGCAATCGGGTATACGAGGTGTAATAATCAATAGCCGCATATCAGAAGTCTTCGGAAAGAAAGTAACTGTCTTCAGAAAGCTGTCAAGAAAGCTAGTGATCGTGGCGGATGGCAATTAAATGCGCTTCTTAGTAAGTTGGAAACGGGCCCTCGGTATCGATTTAATATCATATCGATCATACAGTTTTGTATCTTTATTCCGTGGATTCGCCTTTCTAACGAGGGTGTATGTTGAGTATTCATTGCGAAATCGCTTTGTTTTTTTTTATTTCCCTCTTTGGCTAGTCTGCCATTTTGAAAATTCGTAACGGAGAGCATGCGCATTACGTGGGGTTAGTGGTTGCGTACACCTGGAACCGAGAAAAACAAATGTTCGTTGCACTGGGGAAAGAGTTTGATATGCAACTTATTATGTTTGCCCCGTGGCGATCCTAAATCTTTGCACAAACGCAAGGATCCGATTACTGGCAACTCATTCATTTTCACTTACTCGTGTATCTTTATCCTATCTGGTTCTTGTTCCTGCTCACTTTCTAACTCTTCGCCATCTTCTTCCTGAATTGTTAGTTGTTGCACTTGCCCACTGGCCTCTGGAATCTCTTCGCTACCACTGTTACTATCGAGATCATCATCATCATCATCATCGGAAGGAATGTCAACTTCATCGTCATCGTCATCGTCCTCACTAGACAGCTGTTCAGCTTCTAAAATAGCATAGTTTTTTGTTTTGAAAAAGATTTAAGCAATGAAAAGCAAATCCAAACAATAAAACAAAACAATAACAGAAAATCATTGTTCGCCCCCGCCCCATGGAATGACGAACCTTATAAAACATCAACCATGCTCATGAATAACGAAAGACACTCGTATTCTCTCGGACATATCAGTTAAAAACGCCTTCGGGTGCGCTTATTCAAAAAATGTATTTAACCACGTTTTTCATATGCGTAATTGCAGGCGTTTGTAACTAATAGAGAGAACGCTTGCGTCTTTCGTTATTTTAAAATATGCGCGACTTCTGGTCAAAGTATTCCCTCATCAAATACCTTTTGCTCCAAAAGAAAGGAATCCTTTTACAGTTCCCATCAAAGTTCCACTCTGTTTGGCTTTCTGAGTGAGCATTAAAATGCGAAAAAGTTCAGAGAATCGCCATTAATCCAAATCTAAGTAACGTAAAAGGGCAAATAAAAAAGAAAAATATGTTGTGCCACCAAGGATAATGTAGGATGCTTGGGCAATGTAAAGACAACGGCTTTGGCAAGTCAGGGATGCATTTGTTCCACAAGGAGACTAGCTGGGTAGATTTCGCGAGGTTGCTCGGTTCAATCAATTGTAAAGTGTAAAACTAATGAAAGTTAACGATCGTTCGAGATCGTACTATCTTACATACTAAACTAAAACCCCTAAGAACTTCGTAATAGACCTCGCTCACGGTAGAGTCTCTGTGGCTCAGTGGTTCGATTCCTCATAGGGATTCATAATTTCTTTCTTTGTCCCACCCTCGTAACAAGACAAATAACATCTTTCTCTAAACTAAACCCCATTCAAGTTGATGTCATCCATTGATAGATCAAAGAGCTTTGTCATACCTTTAACAAACTCTTATACTTTTGTTTCTTCTTCTCTTTCGTCTGTGTTGAAGCCATATCTACAAGAGTGGTGAGAATGTCGATTCTATCGCGCTTTGACATTCCGACCTTGTTTTTTTTCCACTTCTTTTCATAAAATCGAAAGGCTTCGTTACTGTACTTTTCGGCCTTACTTTTCTCGTGAAGCTGTTTACAGAGCCTACAGAGAGTTTGCAGAATTTCCTCTCTGACGGTGTCTGGTAACTTTCTCGCGTCGGGTGAATTCCACGCGCCTTCATAAAACCATAGAGCTTCTTTTTGGTATCTCTCCTGTGTTTGACGGTCGCCAAATTCACCAAGCCTTTCGTTTATTGAATCAATAACTGTCTTATTGGCGAGAGAAAATTCAAACCCTTCGAAGGCTCTTTCTTCGTCCCAGTAGCGTAGAAAAAAGTCGAATACTTCTTGTCGAAACTGATCTTTCCTCTTTCCTTCAAGAAAGAACCCTTCGGAGCTCTCAACGATTCTGACCATGACCTCGCTGTGGTTTCCTTGGCCCAGAGACTTCTCAATCTCCCATGCTTCCTCATAAAACTCTTTCGCTGCGTCAGAGTCCTCCGAGTATCGACAAATCTGCGCCATTTGGAAAGCACTTCGAGCAGTGTCAGGGTGCCTTCCCAAAATGGCCTTCCGGATCTCGAAAGCGTTCTTTGCAGGTTGGTAGGCGTCTTTAAAGTTTTGCAACCAACAGTACGCATTAGCAATGTTTCGATTGTACTGGGCAGTGTTCACCATGCCTGGGATTTTTAGTTCCTTAGCGAGCTCTAAGGCTTCTTTGTAGTATTCGATTGCCTTTTCAAATTGTTTCTTTCCTTCATAAACCGTCCCGATCTGTCCTTTGAAGAAGGGCATGTCAAAATGTTTCACTGAGCCAGAGAGCTGTTGTCTCATATCGTATGCTCTCATGTAGTACTTTATGGCCTCGTCATACTGTCCTAGCTTGTTGTGGCAGTTTCCAATGCCGTTTAAGCACCTTGAAGTGCTTGTATGGCTGTGAAGTTCATTTTCCATTATCTTCAGCGCCTTGTGAAAAATCCTCAGTGACTTTGACATATTCCCTGCTCTGTAATATACTTCACCCCAAGAGAACAGGTAGGAACTCTTGGTCAACCTAAAGGAATCTGTGCTCTTAGTTTCCTTCTGCACTTTGCTAAGCGACTCTTTCGCTCTCCTCGCGACCGTCAATGCTCTCTGCCATCCTTCAAGTTTAAGAACCAACAACGTTTCGCGGCATTTTAGTTCTGCTCGAAGCAAGGAACCTAAAGAAACAACAAGGGAAATAAGTTTTTCTCTCTCTCTAAGTTTTAGGCATATTTTTAACCAGAGAGCGTTTTTATTTCTTATTAGAATGTCAACGAGGATTAACTTAAGGAATGTTTAAGGAAAGTTTGGGAAGGGACGCATCTGCATCTTCAAACCCTGACTCAAATTAGGAAGTTACCCTCTACAAGATTAAAAAAGATGCGAATATTGCGACAATAGGCCTCAGGCCTGGTCAACAAAACTGAGAAAAAATGTACCGAATCTTAGTACATATACCCTGTATAGCTTCATCGTGAAAGATTCTTTGGGCGTTTGAACAGATTCGAACAAAATGAGAAGGCGGTAAGCTCCTTACCGAAAGGATCAGATTACACTCCATAGCTTTGATCGTGTAGTCTGATCGTTCGGCTGAGTGAAGTCCTGAGAAGGACTGTTGTCGGCAATGATGACTGGAGTTTCGACAACCTGAGTTAAAGTCACGACTAGCTCTTCGTGGTCAAGTCCTGGGGCCGGTCGTGCAAAATTGCACGATGACGTTGACCTTTTCGGAAATGCTCGGACTACATCCGATTGCTCTGAAATTCCGGCTGTAGCTAGTAAACATTCCAATCACATGGCGAGTTTGGCGAGTTTTAGCTCCGAACTATCAAACGTGACCTCGGGAGCCCGATCCGAAAATCACTTGCGTACGATTTCAATCTGCGATGATGGCGTACGATGCGAAACGCTAGAGATGCAGCGTAGCTAAGGCTTTAGAGATGATTTTTGACGATGGAAGTATGCATGGTGGTATCTCTAATGGTGAGGAATCCGAATTAGATAGAAAACTGGAAAATCCTAGCGAAGAATCGAGGTAAGTAATCTGTAAACATTCTTGCGATATCTAAATGCGTGACGGATGTGGTGTTGAAACATTTACTTTTACTTTTCGCGCACGAATCCTTGTTTTTTGCCTTGAAAAAAACCTGTAAATGTATATTTGTGAATGAAAAGCAATATATTTTGTGATAAAACATGATTTCAAGCGACAGAGAAAATAATCTTCGGTGGAATGTTAGAACGCAACGGCCTAAATTATCAGCCGATGACAGATCGAATGACGCAGTGTGCGTCCGAACTAAATCAAATAAAATCTTTTATTTTTCAAACGATTGTTGTATATATATCGACCTGTACATTATCTTATATGTTTTGTATGTTTTTTTGATGTGGTTCTACTTGTTACATGCCAAAAATTCACAAAACAAACAAATTGTGCTCAAGAATGAGTGAAATGATATAAAACGACAGTTTCCGGTTTCACTTCTGAATTGTTTTACTCTTGAAAAATACTGGTGGTGCATTGCAAGTTAAAGGCTTTCGATATATGTTGCGCTTTATGTATTTTGAGGTTGATTATCTCATTTGTCCCTGTTTCAAGGCAAAATTTCAGAAGTCAAACAAAGAAATATAATTCCAATGGTTGCACTGTAGACTTCAAGAGGGATTAGTAAATTTGGGCTTGGGGTGATGATGAGGTCAGACTAATTAGTCAGTATGTCAATCAGTGTTCACTAAATATGTGTAACACATCTCAGATTTGTTATTTTCCAACAAATTTTTATTGAGATGTTGCCCATATAACAAGGAACCTCTTTAGTTAACTTTTGCTTCATTACTTTATATTATTTGGGTATCACTTAATTCACAGTTCAAATTTTGATGATATTTTATGCTAATTAATGTTAGTTTGAAAGCATTCAGTGAGGTTGTTTCCTTTTTCTTGGAGAGGAAACATGCATTTCAGGAAAGCTTATTTAATGCTGTTTCAAGTGAGGTATAGCATACTTCCCTTGTGTAAATACTTGGTGAGGAATAAATTTTTCAATAATTTGGGTCAATTTTTATGGTTTTGGGGTACAGTTTGGAAAAAAATTCTAATTAATTCTGTATTTTTTCTTTTTCAACCAGAGTCTCTAGATGTCTTTCCCATAAGATAAGGAATATTTTATCTTTGGAATGTTTCCTTGTAACTCCAATCCATTCAGGCCCAGGCTGTTTCAAAGTCAAAAGTTTTACGATAATTTATGCAAATTGTATGCCATTTTCTTAGCATAATTTAAAATCCATGGATTTTTGGAGGCAAAATATATTTTTTCTGAAAAGCTTATTTTGTCCTCTTTCAAGTGAGGTATAGCACTAATCACTAGTGTAAATACTGTGAACAAAAAAAATAAAAGAAAAAAGGTTGCCATCATTTGTCATTTTTTTTAGTCTGCTATAAAGAGCTAGAGTCAAGTAAAATGCTGTTGTCAGTCGAGTTTAGTAAGTGTTATCTGTTAGTTTTTCCATCAGGTCGACTGCTAACTTACACTACCGAGGTATCCAGAAAAATTTCCTACGTAAACTAAGACTTTTTTTCCAGAACACAATAAAACCTTACCTTCCTTTCCATCATCCTCGACCTTTTCGGCCCAGCAATTAAAAATGTTCTTTCTTGCTTTTTCGTCAAGCATGGCCTCGAAGAGATAAAAGATCATAACACTTTCACGATGCTCTTTTGGGATAAGAAGATGGTCTGACTTGAAAGAAATATCCAAAGCAAGTTCAAAGTTTGGTTTGTCAAGATCAAAATTATCGAAGGCATTCATGTAGTCTTTGTCCAAAAGCCTTGAAATGTCTATCATTTTGGACATGAAATATGTATGAAACCTGCCTTTTGCCTTCTCGTAAACTTTGACGAACATTTTTTGGTTACTACCAATGCTTCTCAGAAATGTTCGCACCAGAGGGTGAATGTCATAGGTGAGTTCTTTCACGTCAGGGTCTATCGTTAGCACTTCACTATTCCTGAGACCTTCTAGTTGTATAACCGCTTCTGACGAGTCCACTCCAAGGACTTCGGCTGCTGCTTCGACAGAGAAAGAGCGACAGAACAGTGACATCGAAATGGCAGAATCTTTTAACTGTTTACTAGGCAAGAAGAAAAACATTTTTCTTAAACAGCTTTCTTGCTCTTTATCAATGCCTTCCTTTTCGGAGTCAAATACGTCTCTCTCTCGACTCTCCTCTGCTGCTGGTATTCCCGACTCTGGTGGCTCGGCTGCTAGTGGCTGCTCAATCGTTTCCAAAATCCTGGTGTCATTGGTTATTTGTTGCCTCAAGATTGCTGCCATTCCCTTGATGATGAGGGGATTCCCTTGGCAAATCTGCAGCAGTTTCTCCATTTGATCCTCTCGAACGCTGCCAATTCCCTGATTTTGGAATAAGACACTTGATGAAATTTTCTCTAAAGCCATAACTTCGTAATTGTCAAAGTTGGCCAACTTCGCGTGACGAAGTGTTGATCTTGATGTCAACAAAATCTTCAGTTTCGATTTCCCCGGATAATCCTTTGGACCTAGAAGTCCTTGCAGAAATTTCACAAAATTGGCATTAAGGAAGGTGGAAGCTTCATCATCTCCTCCTGCAAATTTATCGACGTTATCAAGGAACAGCAATATGTCACTGTTTTGCTCTGCTTGCCTCAACTGTTGCATTAATTCCACTACTAGATTTGCTTCGAAGCTTATGTTCGTTTTGTCTGGTGCTAAAGCGTTTAAAACGTGAAAATGAACGTCTTTCATCTCAGTGATTTCTCTAAAATCGGCCTTGAATTTCCTCCCCGGCCACTTTGAAACAGTTTCTATTGCCAATTTCGTCTTGCCTACTCCACTAATTCCATGCAAATTGACAACACGCGAACTTCCTGTTGTCAACATTGCCATAACTTTCTCTAGGTCACGTTCCCTACCGGTCAAACCTGGTTCTTCCTTTCCAGAACTGACTTCTTGTTGGCGGTTTTCCTTAAATTGTTGAATTTTTTCCTTTAGCGACTTTTTCTTGGACGCTTTCGGGCTTAAAAACCCCTCCAACAAAGTCAGATTGTCCTCCGATACAAGACCTTGCTTAGCAAATAATTGGAGGCATGAGTACAAATCTTGTTCTCCTTGATCTTCAAACTTGCCCCTAAAATTAGTTTTTATGGACGATACGGCATGCCTTAGTTCTTCGGGACTGAGTTCATCGGACACTCCTCGAAGAAGCTTTTGGAAACGCGGAGAAATTTCTTCAGACGTCGAGATTGTCTCGATGGACGCCATCTTCGTTTAGCGTCGGTTGACTCAATGTGTGACATGTGGCCAGCGTAATGTCTGCAAATTTATGCAGGAGACTGATGTGATTCGTGACTGACAAAAGCAATTTTAATCACGCCACCCACGAATTGACCTTTAGTAACCGATCTCAGTCGATATGATACAAAGCAGTTCAGTTGAGAAGCCGCTGTTATAAACTTTTTTGCACGATTAAGTCAGACAATAGTTAAGTCAATCACGTATAACCGACCGCCTAATACAGGTTCGATTGTCTTCGTCTTAACACAACCTTAGAACAAAGAAAAGAAATGTGACTCTCTCACAAGGAATCGAACCCCAGACCTTTAGATTCTGTGCTGCGATGGTGTACTACTGAGCTACATGAAAAGAAACGAATCTTGTGAGTTAAGCCGTTACTTAAATGTTTCTACATGACAGGCGCCCTACGTACTGCTAAGATCAGCAATGTTTGGGGAGATAATTTGAGGAGATAATTTGAGGAGATGATTATGAGTTTTCTTTCGTGAAACATTGATTTTTTTTCTCGTTGCACTCTTGTAAAATAAACGCACAGACACCCCTTTACGGTGGTCATTTTAACTTAGTTGATAATAGCAAATTAGCCTGTTACACTCTCCCACCGACGCAGCACCACAGCTTTTTTAGAAACTTACCCCCGTTCAGCTACTTGCGTCGATGTTGTCATTTACCTTCCTATGTTGATGGTTTTGCAAAGTAATCCAAGATCATTACTAATGGAAGGCTAAATAGGATTTGTCTTACACAAGCCTCACTTTCCTTCAAAAGAACGGATAAATCTTGTACTGAACAGCCAAAATCCTACGAACCCCCCCCCCCCCCTCCGCCTTCCCGTTGTAATTTCGACCATTCAACGCCTGAAGCTTTTTTTGTTTTTTTTGTTTTTGTTCATTTTCCGATCGGCGCTCCGAGAAAGATGTATTTTAGGGAAGTTCACAAAATAATATTTTATTACTTTCTCGTAACAAATGGCGTCCAGGAAGCTGGAAAGTAATCAAAATTACATTATCCATAAGATTTTGATCCTGATTGTTATGTCGGTAAATTTTTTAATATATGTTTAATGTTGGTGGATTCAGAATTCGGACAAGATTTGCTAGTTATTCACGATCCATCGCAAATTGAAATTCTGCAATCGTACATTAGTTATTTTTCCTCATATCTTGTCCTTAATTGGTAATCTATGCCTTCATATCTACTGTTTTTCAATATATAACTGGTCCATTAATTTAAAAATCTTTTGAAAATTAAGAACAGTACAGATGTGTCTCACTAACTTACAACTCGTTAGTGTGTCGACGCCTGTCATCTAAATAAATAGACAAATTCAAAGATACCTGATGTATCTACATTTTTTCCGCTTTGTACATCTTTGATTTATAGTCTGACTAATGAAGTCATCCTTTATGTTGTAATCCTTTTCTCAAGGAATCAATGTGTTATATTAATTTCTGCGTTAACGATCCCTTTTGCTCAACTCTCTATGGGTAGAAAACATAAACGTCTAAAAACACCCTAAGGATATCTTGGCGGAAACTGTACAAGATATCATTCTTCCTTAATTAACAAACCAAACTGAAAACTCTCACTAGGTGGACTACAATTCCGTACGTAGTATCAATAGCAATTTCTTGGATCCCTAAATTAAGATGACAAAATTTCATAAAACAGGAGTAAGACTAAAGCGATCTAAATATAATTAATGATTGATCAGTGATGACGCTCCGATGAAAAAAAAATGTCGAACTGTATTTGGACCGAACACCATTTTCATACTGATAGACCAGCTTTACTCATCATACCAACGATGTTGAGACAAGCGTAAGACTTTTAGCATTTGATTGTTTTATTTTGTGACAAAAGCACTCTTATCTTTGGTAAAGAACTTTGAATATTGTTCACTCGATGAAACAATGTGTTTTGTGTGGTGGTTCACTTTCGGCGCCAGGTTTAAAATTGTCAAGGTAAAAATAACTAATTCCCGACGTAGTTTTATTTTGAAATTTGTTGACTCCCAAAGAGATTAAAAAAAAAAGAATCTTTCGTAAGTAATGAAACTGTTAAGTAATAATTGATGAAAGAAACAATAACGGGAACAGGTGCCTTTGTAAGAAGCCATGGTCTGGGAAATTTAGAAACAATTATGTCACCTTAAACTTCACCTCTTTGAACGTTCATATACAGGTGAGAACCATTCGATTTTTTTTCATTGGGGTTTCCCGGAGCACATCAGCGTCAGAAGAATATTTTTATAAAGGAGAAGTGTCTTCTCTTACGCGATGAGCCTTAGGATAATTGTTTTGAGTGTTGTTTTACGGTCAGCCTTGAATATGGTATTAGGAGCAGGTAAGTCTTATCATCCGCCTCCTACTTGTCACACATGTCTAACTATCAAGAATTTTTATACAAAGGAAATATTAGACTAATTTACTTCCAAATGATATAAAGATTCCTGTTTGATGTTGGTTGAAAAAAGGGAAATCTAAAACGAATCCTCAATTTTGAGGTGCAGTAAACTAAGGAAAGTGTGGATCAATATTTTGACCAAAGCTGCTCCTAAATTATGAATGAAATTCGAAAAAAAAGGCAAAATCGCTTGCAAGAGAAAAATACAGAAAAGAAATAAACACATTACTTTACAAGTATGTGAGAATCAATAAATGTAAGGTACTATTTGGAAGGCCCAGCGTTGTGAGGATAGGTATTAGCCGTTACAAAGTGAGGTGGCATAGTTTGACAATTGTGATGAAATATTTCAAAAATACTGTAGTATCGCGAGCAACCGGGTAATGGTCGCTGAGACAATAACATAAAAAAACCGGTCTTATTTCAATAATTCCCCTCCCTCAATAAAAGGCAAGCGTTTTTTAAATCCTACTGAGATTAAAATATTTTTTTGAAAGTTGATAATATCATTTTTTTGAAAAAGAAAAACCATCATTTTGAAAGAGGAATATCAAGTTTTTTGCTTCTCCTCGCCACGTAACGCTCCACGGTTTTGTCTAGACAGTCCTTTTTCGAATTCTTGTGAGCATGGGGGGTGAAAATTAAAATTGTGAGTTCTTCAGGATGACTTATTCAGATAATTAACTCAGATGCCTACTACATAATAGATTCGTGTACGACAAACTTCCTACGAACTTAGAGGATCAGCGATGTTGAAAAACGTCTTGGGTGTAATTAAATAAAGAAACGTGGTAACTCGCGAACCCACCCGCCAAACAAAGGAAGGCTACATCCTACAAGAGTTTATGCGGTAGGGTTTAAATGATACACTGTGTCTCTTAGCAATATAGCCTGATCTAAAAAAACTTATGGCAATACCCTACTAAGCTAGTCAATATTATTATTTTCGTGAAATGCAAGGATAAGTTTTTCAATTTCCCTCTATCAGATATTTCAGGACGTGGATGCAAGACTGTCAAAAAAGGCGATGAGTCTTACAGTGAAAGTATCAACATCCCTAAGATGAAATGGACTGAAACACCGGCTGTTATTTCCAAAGGAAAACGTAAGTAAAGTCACTTCCCAGATTTGAACGACTAGATTCCATGTTGCCATTCGTCCACTCAGTAATAGATCACAGATAACCTCAAAATTGTGGTAAGAACAAAAAGAGTGGCACATGACGCACGACCGAGTGTGTCACAGACGTCCTTCTAACATTTTGACGTCACCAGTGAGCTATTAGCGAGAGCACAGTGGCAACATTCAATTTAGTTGTCTTGTATCATAAAAAAAGCAAAATTTTGTTACGCTGACGTCATCTGCGCTTTATCCTTCTAACAGATGATAAGTGAAAACAAATCAAAATGTTCATGTATAATTCAAGAATACAGTAATAATAAGAAATAGAACCACTAAAAACGAAATGGCTTCAATTTTTTTTTCTTCATCGATTTTTCATTAATTCGTCAAATTCTATCTTCTTCTCGATTAAATTCACGGCCCTTCAAACTCTCATAGGTGAATACCGGGTGATTGGAAGAGTTGTTCATATGGACTATGTACAAGAATATCTTGCTGCAAAAGAGAATATGAAGTTAGGAAACGTCCAGAGGAAACCTAATCGTGTCCAACTTGAAGTCCTGGCCGATACTGTGTACATCGAGGTGTGTAAAAGAATTGTTTGAATAGCGAAACTTTCATAGGATAGGAACTTCTTGATTTTCAGCAACCCGCGGGAAGGGTTTGAGTCAAAAAGTTAACGATTTACTTATTATAGAGTTAATGATAACTTTATTACAATCTCTGGACTTATCAATTTACATTATCAACTCAGTTGATAAAACCGAATTATTTGTTGTACCCCAACTGATGCAGCCCCGCAGTTGCTTTACAAACTTGTCCCCTCGTCTCTTTTTGGCTCTTAGGAATACGAAATACAAATAAATATTGAAACAAATGTTTTTTATCAGGGCGTGATCAGGATGCGAGGTATTAAAAAACTCACAGTTTATAGCCGCAAAATTGTTTCCGGGAAGGACAGTCAGCTGGATGTCAGAGCTCCTACTTTGAGTCCGCAATATGATACTAGTTTGTCACTGGCTCCTGGCACTCCTGGGGTACCAGGACAGAACGGAGTGGCTGGACCTAAAGGTACTGGGGTAAAGAGAAATAGAGAATTCTATGCATTGGTGCAAAGGCATTAGAGCAGTGTTGAATTGAGTGTCAAAAAAAATCATCATAATCATAACGGCTAATCAGAGATCTACATTTTTTATCAACCAATGAGAATTCAAAGCAAAAAGGCAAACTGTTTGAAGCGCGGGAAAACGCGAGTGACCAAATCGCACTTGATTTTAGTTTTTGCTTTCATTGGTTTAAATCTGGCACAGGTTTTCTAGACTTATCACAGAGGGAAATAAACCCAAAAAAATGCAAGCCAGGATTACTTTAGATACTCTCTAAGACGCTGTTGGGAACAAAAATTGTCACTGAAATCGCAATATTTAATAGAATTATGAGTTCGAGAAT